CCCCCATAGTTCACTACGGCAGTGCAGAGCCCCACTACTGAGCGGTGGATGGACATGAGGGGATGCACCACTTTGTGGTGCCAACAGCTTGTGTGGTTAAGCCCTGAATCAAAGGGTGGTGCTGATCTCCCATAAGACCAATAGTACTGATGATCTGACCATGAGTTGAACGAGGTGTTAGGGTCGAGAAATATATCCTATTAGCTATTGTTATTTTGTTGTTTGATTTCTTGTTAAAGTCTTTGTTGCTGATTTATCGGGATGATTGAAAATTTAGTTTATTTTTATGTTGTTAGAAGTATACAGATCAATAGGACCAGTGATAGCTGCCGTGTCAATTCAAGCCCGCTTCGTGTTTAGCGATTCACGTTGCTCTTTTTGGGATAACTGTTTCTATATCTAATCATAGGGATTACATTCGTGGTTGGTGAATGTTAGTGTCAGGTGTGATTTTTTTTATTGATGTAACAATCCTAAAATTAATGATATAAATATAGGTGATTTCATTTAAAAAAAAGTAAAACATGAAAACTTTGGGCAACAACTCCATTGACTGGTTTTGTTTTTATGATGACATACAAATTTCCAATTAGTATATCCTTTATTAGGTATCGATTTTACTCCCTCGTCCTATATAAACGTTTCGATTTTGACTTTCCATATAAAGGTTCACATTTTCATTTTAGAAAATAAGTAACACTTTTAAATGACAATTTAATTAACAGATATTAAATAGGAAAAATTGATAGTAATAATACCAACTATTGACGGTCCGCTTAAAATAATCCCAACTATCAATTATTTCAGAATAATCCCAACTTTAGGGACTTTCCGCCAATAATGGTCCCTATAAATAAATTCTTGTAGTTTCTAAAGTGGATGAAGAGAGATATAACAAGTAATCCATATAAATATTCCCAACTTCTAATTTTTACATTTAATTTCTATTTAAAATTTACTTTTTTGGAAGATAATATCTGGTCATGGACCATTATTGGCGGATGGTCCATATAGTTGGGATTATACAAAAATAATCAATAGTTGGGATTATTATCAGCGGACCGGCAATAGTTGGGATTATTATTTTCAATTTTTCCTATTAAATATAATAATTTTATAATATTATAGTTATTACCATTAACCGCATTATATTATATGCCTATTACAATTAGTTCTCAAAATATACTCGACTTACTTTATTTGATTATTGTCTAAATAATGGAGATTTGCAACTCCAGTCTCGTAACTTTAGGTGGTTCTATTTATTAGTCATTTAACTTTAGTCACTTGCAAGTTTGGTCCCGTAACTAGTATGTAATAAATCAAGATCTTTGCGATTTATTAAGGACATACCTCATAAAATAACATTTCGCGGCAATAATATATTTGAAAAGATATCGCCGACGTTGGATTTTCTGTCAGTACTTTCCGGTGGTAAAGTCATTCAATTATCAAGATTTATTTGTTATGAGACCAAATTTGCAAGCAAGTGAAATTATTATAGCTAGGACTAATATCGATAACAATCGAAAGTTACATGACTACATTAAATTGCAAATCTCTCATGCATTAAAGTAAATAAAGTAAATTAATACAGGGAAACTTTGGGAAACAACTCCATTGACCCGGATTTTTTTATTGATGAAAACTAATTTCGAGTTATATCCTCTATCTGGCGGCAATTTTCTCTCCAAAACATGTACTCCCTCCGTCCCTAAAAGAATTTACATTTCGCTTTTCGAGAGTCAACTTAAATCACTCTTAAACTCTTACTTTATATATCAAAATTATATGAAAATTTAATTATTTTTGCAGACTTTGTAGCGGTTTTAATATAGTTTTTGAATATGTAATTTTTTTTACTAAAAGTAATCCGAGTTTTTACAGGGATCATTTAACTTTATCGTTGGTCAAACTTCGTAACCCGCAATTGGAAGAACATTTGGGGACGGAGGGAGTAACAAGTTTACTACGTAGTACTTTATATAAAGATAAAGATTAAAAAATGTATGGAATTTTGGTAGGTTAATTGTTGAAAATATATTTGGTAAGAGACCATAAAAAACATCAAGTATTGTCAGGGGCGTAGCTAAGATTGAAAGTTGGGCCGGGCCGGTACAAAGAATTTTACAGATAGTATTTTTCACATAAATTTTTACACTAAAAATACAAAGAATTTTCAAATTTGATGTGGGTCGTGGCCCAGTTGGCCACCCCTCTACCTCCGCCCCTGAGTATGGTAATAATATTCATATTTTCATATACTCTTCAACTTATCTTTATCCTTATCTTTATATTCAGACTTCATAGAATGCTAAAGAATACGAAGTAATTGTATTATTATGCGCCTTAAATTTGTATTGGCTGAGACCCAATTACTTATTTATAAATAAGAAATTGCTCTAAATAAGAGTAAAAATCTTTTGAAATTTCAAAATAAAAGAACTAGATTTATATATCTTAAATAGGAGTAGTTACTCCCATTTTGCAAAATGGGAGTAACTACTCCCGCTAAGATTGTCCCATTTTACCATTTCGACCCGTCCCATTAAGATTTTCTCATACCTTATTTGGTAAAGTTTGTGTGGCTCTAAATCATTCTTACTGTATTCTTACTTTATCAATTCAATATCAACCACATAAACCACTTTTTTTATAAATTTGCGTGTCACTCCCTCTTGTCCCATTGTTAGTGGGACGGAGGGAGTATCACTTATAACAATAATTAACGTACTTCTAGTTACAGAAAATAATACTCCTATTTTAGAATTTCAAAACGTTTTTTATTTACTCATATTACGGGTATTTCGTAAGTATTATTTTTCTAAAATGAAATTTATGAGGTACATGATAGATGGAAGATCTTAGAGCTTCTCCAATGATTACTTCTAGAGATTTGCTTGCAATTTTGAAGCTATTAATCTACCATTCAAATATATCTTTGTTTCTAACTTGGGCAAGCAAATTAGTCAAAACAAGCTACTTTCTAGAAAGGAGAAAATGGTAATTACCAAATATATTTAATTTATTTTTAATTGATATACTAAATTAATAAAAAAAATGCAATTGTATAGTAATGCCATAAACGGTAAAGTTCCAAAACACTGAAAAATGCAACGGCAAAGAAGTGCAATACAACTATAAACATTAAATATATTTATTTTATTTAATGATTTGCTTTATTAATTTTAAGAAATATTTATTTGTTTATTTAATTTTCTCATGAGATATTTAAAGTTGATATTTCTTAGTATGTATGTGTTATATTAAAATTTCCTATTTTCTTTTTTACAAAACAAAATACGTACTTATTTTTGTACTAATTTTAAAAATATTTATGTTTTTTCATATAATCATCGTTATAATAATAGCACTGATAATTTATGAGTTTAAAAATATCATCTACATATTTCCTAATTTAAACATATGTCATTATAAGCATCATTTTTATTGTATTAATAAATCAATTCATTCAAAATATATATTTTCAAAATTGGTTGATTTGTGAGACCTATTCAACAATCAAGAGGCACGCATTGTATAGCTAACTATTATTGTAGTATCAGAATGCCGGAAAATGAATTAACCAGAAAAAATTGATGTGAAAAAAAAAAAAAACTACAATGTGTTTAGGGGATCACTATTAAAGCAGTACTACGTATTTCATAAAAAAACAACACTCCGGTATTTTCTATATAAAATAAGTAACTTATTATTTTGATATTGAGTAAATAAACTCCATATTTTGGGGTATAACTACTTTACTTTACATCGTGTATAAAATATAGCTAGTCATCATAATGCCACTAAATAAAAGAAGTTTTTAAGTTCATGATACTAATTATTATTATTATTATATTCACCATACGAAAAAATCCATGACATATAAATATTTATTTTTTATTCTATTTTTTTTTTTATGTTCGTGTCTCTTACATTTATAGATTTGTGTTTCTAACATAAATTTATATCATTTAAGTTATTCTATTTTGTACAAAAATTGTGCACGTACACATTGCTCATTAGGCAAATTTCAATATGCGTACATTAAATTTGGTTTTATTCAACAGGTCGTCTAATTATTAGTGTGTATTTAATAAAAATGGACTCGGATAAGAGTAAAAACGTTTTGAAATTCACATTGAGTAAATTTAACAAAAAAGCTATACAACATAAGAAATAAAATTCTTCATTATTATTATTCATTTGTACTAAAGTTTTCTAGTCATGAGGTCAAGTTAAATATAATTTGGTTTAGTTTAATTTGAATTAGTCTATTTCAGTCTAATTTATTATTCTCTAGTTTGAACTCCTTATAATTTGAAGTGGTTGAAACTGAAATAGAGTCAAATGTGAACATTTTCTTCGTATATTGTTAAACAAATGTGACAATTTTGAATGGAGTTATTGTGGACAAATACCACGAAATTAATGGACATGATTTAAATAATTTAACAAAAATAGACAAACGGTATGTATTGCACCATAATGACAATCATCATATACGTAGTATACGTATATATACGCGACTTTTCCTTATTTCCTTTTCGAGAATGCTAATTGCTAACTAGCCGGAGCATTTAATTTTTCCTACGTTATTCAAGTGATCAAATTGGTAATATGTTTTCATTTTCAAAAAATGCCTACCACTTTCATGATTTCGATCCCCTATATATATAAAATGAGTAAAAAACTTCAAATTGAATTACACAAACTCGTAAAGAAACAATAATAATCTAGGAAGGGGAAAATGAAGAAAGAAACTGTGGTGCTTATTGTTGGGGCAGGACCAGCAGGACTTGCAACTTCTGCATGTTTAAATGTTCAAAACATACCCAACATAGTGTTAGAGAGTGAAGCCAAATGTGCTTCTATATGGAGAGAAAAGAGTTATGACAGGTTGAAACTTCACTTGGCCAAAGAGTTTTGCCAGTTACCCCACATGCCATTCAGCCCTAATGCACCCACATTTCTATCCAAGGAAGAGTTTGCCAAGTATTTGGACACTTACACCTCATATTTCAGCATCAAACCCCTCTACCAAAGGGTAGTTGTGTCGGCCTCGTGTAACGAGGAAAATCCCGACGAAAGATGGTGGCTCGTTAGAGCAAAGAATACTACTGACGAAGAAGGAGAAGGAGAAGAAGAGACTTACACGGCTAAGTTTCTTGTGGTTGCAACAGGTGAGAATGGTGAAGGGTTTATACCACCTGGGATTAATGGGCTGCATGGTTTTAGTGGGGAGATAATGCATTCTAGCCAGTATAAAAATGGCAAAAAGTTTCAAGACAAATCGGTTCTGGTCGTTGGTTCTGGAAATTCTGGAATGGAAATTGCTTATGATTTATCTGATCATGGCGCTCGAACCTCCATTGTTGTTCGTAATCCGGTAATTAAGTCACTTTACTTCTATTTTAAAGTTTTGCCAGTTTCAAATTTTAAAGTCAACGGTATTAAACTTGACCAAAATTATATTTTTTACGATATATAGCCATACTATATATGCTATATGTAGCAAAAAAATTATACCCAGTGTAAATTGCATATATGTACCTCTCGTTAAATATTGACCTTTGCTATACTATAATAGTGATTGTATTTCTATAGTTAGCTGTGTTTACTGTTTTTCGGTCACTAATATGAAAGATAGATGAATCATCAATCCGGCACCTGAAGATGAAATGTGTCTGTGTAGGGCTCGTAAATTTAAAATATTATTTAATTATTTAGTTTTATTAAAAGAATAAACTTTTGTGAAGAAAAATTCATTAAAAATTAGCAATACATTAATAAAAAATTAAATAATTCAAAATCTATGGAAGGTTTGTCCTAGATGAATAGTTTTCAATATTTTGGACCCTACATTGGCATTGTCACATTTTATCTTTGAGATCCCGAATTGACAATGTATTTGTTATTCAGGTCTTAAATGGATAAAATTCCTTATTTTATTTATTTATTTATTTATTTATTTATTTATTTATTTATTTATTTATTTATTTATTTATTTATTTATTTATTTATTTATTTATTTATTTATTTATTTATTTATTTATTTATTTTTTATTTTTTACACAGAACATAATACTTACCCAACGTTTTGTACTTGTGATGACACGTTATAATTCAGGTGCATGTTCTTACCAAAGAAATGGTACAATTAGGCATGACTTTGCTGAAATTCCTCCCTCTGGATATCGTCGATAAATTAGTGGTTGCTTTAAGCATGTGGAAGTTCGGAGACCTTTCTCCATTCGGGCTGCAGAGGCCCAACAAAGGCCCATTTTATACCAAGCGGGCCACACGGAAATCACCAGTTATTGACGTTGGAACATCGAGGAAAATCAAAACCGGAGAAATTAAGGTGATTTTCTTTTCTCTTGCCCTCTTAAATAGGTTTTATCTAACTTTTTTTTACCCCAGGAGGGCGTCGGGGGGAAGGGGTTTGAGGGGCTGGGCTGGACCGCTTCCTCTAGGTTTTATCTAACTTGTTTAGAATGTTTTTAAATGAATCGAAATTTTATGGTGTAGTCTGAACTGATCGAGTAAATATTTTTGTAATTTACAACTATCAAAATCTCGTCCGGTCTGACACGGTCTGTTGAAATCCGATTTGATCTACGGAGTATTAGGATGTTTTCTTTTGGACTGTTTTCAGTCCCAGACCAGACCAGACCAGACTTAAACAGACCAGACCAGACCAGACCAGACTTAAACAGACCAGACCAGACCAGACTTAAACAGACCAGACCAGACCAGACTAGACTTCCGTAGTTATAAAATATACAGAGACCAGATGTTTACCAGACCAGACCAGACCAGTTCAGACCAGACCAGACCAGACCAGACTTAAACAGACCAGACCAGACCAGACCAGCAAATTTCAGTCCAAAAGAAAACATCCTTAGTACAAATATGAGCATATATAATCTAGACATATAGAATTTCAGTTCAATTTATTAAACTTAATTATTTGTGATAAATTTTAGGTTTTTCCAGCACTAAAAAAAGTGGCTGAAAATCGTGTTGAATTTGAGAATGGGAAGGCAGAGAAGTTCGAGGCCATCGTATTTGCTACTGGGTATCGAAGCACCGTGAGGAAATGGTTGATGGTATGCATCTTATTTAATAACTTTCCCCACTCCTTTGCCAAAAAAAAAACTTTCCCCACTCCATGTGAAATATAACAAAATTCTTATTTCTTCACTTCCAATTCACTTTATGATCTCAAATTGAATAGCATTTTGTGACGATTTTTACAAATTTTAGGGATTTTTAACTAAATGGTTGATTTTTTTAATATGTAGATCTAAATTGATGAAAAAGTTCAAGTCAAATTTCCCGAAGAATGATTAAAAATAAGGGTTTTTTTTCCCTGAAATATAAGCGACTTTCTTCCCAAAATAGAATAAATTAAATTATTATTATTATGAAATCATAATATTATAATGTAATATTATTATTACATTATCATGCATTAGTGTGACACTTATTATATTGTCGTAATGTGACAATACTATTTGATGATAATTATTCTTATTTCAAGATAAAAACATATCACTCTCATTTGGGGAAATCATATTGCTTTACTCTTTGTTTGGACAATTCCTTAAAGTTCAACACGATTAGTTCTGTGAACTCCATATCAAGAATGGTTTTTTCTCCAAAACGAAGAAAGAATTTAGTGCCGAATTATTTCATTCACTCCATAAGCTCTCAGAATCACAAATTTTAGAAAATGACTATAAAAAGTCAGTTTTTTCCTATCTTTCAATAAATATCTAAGAACAAAGATATGTTATATTCGTCTGTATTTTACTTCATTTTCCCTCTTTTTTTGTTATTTCCTAAATTACCCATTAAAAATCATTAAAAGATTATTAATTCGTCTCTTTTAAAAACAAACAGGGAGATGATGATGGGCTTTTCAACGAGGATGGAATGCCAAGAGAGAAACCACCAAACCACTGGAAGGGAAAGAATGGGATTTATAGTGCGGGATTTGCTGGCGCAGGATTGGCTGGAATCTCTAATGATGCCCTAAACATTGCGGAGGACATTCAACGGCTCTTAATCACCCAATTTAAAATGGGCAATACTAAATAATCATTGGCGGCAAATGGGCTCACTCTCATATATATGCATTATTAGGGGTGTCCGTCTAGTTTGATTTTGTTGGTTTCGATTTTATTGGTTCGGTTTTAGTCGGTCGGTTTTGACCGGTTTTGGTTTTTAGTCATTCGGTTTTGATCGGTTTTGGTTTTCAGTCATTCGGTTTTGATCGGTTTTGGTTTTTAGTCAGTCGGTTTTAGCGACGTTTAAAATAGATGAAACCAAGAATAGGACCGCGAAAACTGACTCAATTTTGGTCAATTCGTATCATTTTCTATCGATTTTAGCCATTTTTGTTGGTTTATTTTCGTTTGACCGGAGTTTTAAGCCAAAAGTATGAACCATAAACCGAATAACCGATGAATTAGTCACTTTCACTCGATTTCAATTTTATCGATTTGGTTTTGGTCGGTTTTGGCTGATTTCGATTTTGGTCGGTCGATTTCGGTCAGTTTGGCGTTGGTTTCGTTTTTTCGTTTTTTTGTTCACCCCTAATGCATCATGATGGAAAGTCACCCTACCAGCAGTTTTTTTTTATTATACAACTCCCAGCGTAAGTGGATGGCTACCCTCCTCCTGCTCACATGTTTTGGTGGAGTATTTCATACCAATAGTACTATATCTAGCCATCAAAAGAGTGCATTTTTTGAATAAGGCAAATTTTGTAGTGCCTTTAAGGTACCATATCTTATCTATATGGACCAAATGAGATAATATAGTTGAATTATTTAAACATTAGTAACTGATCAATTATTTAAATGAAATATCTATTACATTTCATTTTGTGTGAATTTGAAAATGTATGGCAGCATCGATTCTCTTATAATGCATAGATTGATAAATCTCTTTGTTTTTAATCCAAATGTATCATAGTGTGTACATAGACAAAGGAAATGACATAGTTACTATAATACAGAGTATAAGCTTTAGTGCTAATAGTGTGTCCAAAATTTAGCTCAAACAACATTTCTATAGATATTCTAGGGCCTTGTTTATTATTTCCTTTTTATAGACATGAACTTTGCCAACCATTGAAACGACAAAACATGGAAGTTCACTAACTTCAATAAACCTGATGAATATACTTAACACCAAATTTAGTGATATTGGGTGCACCTAAGTGAGCCCCAGTGCAAATATAAAGTAGTCACTTGGACAGCTGATAGGTTAAGTTAATTCAAGCGAATGCAGTACTTGTTTGTTTGGATGAAAATCCTGATTTGGAGTTTCTCCAGTCTCCACAACTGGATTGTTGGAGGTGTTAATTGTTAGTACCATTGACTGTACAAGTTTTACTTGTTTGGTATTGGTTTATGCTAAGACTTCACCCTAAAATCACAAATTTAAAACATTTTGCCAAACAGGCTGAAGATGAACAGAAAAATAACAACACAACCACAGGCAGTTTAATTTGTGCATGCTTTCAGGCTTTGGCTTTAAGCCGGGGTAAGCTGACTAAAACTGATACAAAACAAATGAAAGTAACTGAATCGCACCGACTGAAACCCATTGAAGTTCGTTTGTTTGTTTTTCAGTTTTGCAATTTTCAAAACTGAACCTTTGTAAACCAAAACGATCAAACCAAAACGATCAAACCAAAACGAACAAACCAAAACATACTTAGATGTTGGTACATGAGAGCAATGTGCCCTTTTGTTCAGAAAGGGTGGCTTTTATGCCTTTTATGTATACACTGAACAATTTACAGAACCAATCACAATTTGCACACAAACAAGTACCGATATAACCACTTTCCAAGAGAAGATTATCATGATTCATGGCTCTAAAAAAATGGTCCAAATTTTGTTCACCTTTTTTTGGGATAGCCTCAGTAGATTAGCTAATACTGAAAAGTGTGATGAAATAAGAGCGAAGGTTCAACTGCTGGTAAACAACACCAGAAGTGTCATAATTGCAAGTGTGTGGGAGATCATAAGACCAACCTTCTTTACAACAAGTGTGGCTGAACTAGTATCATCACTTTCATCAGCTGCAAAGTTTCCCTCTGGTGTGTCAGTTGTCAAGACAACAACTATCCAGTCTTTTTCTGAACCAATCCCCATACCCGTAAATCTAGTATCATTCAGGTTTGCCGAATAACTTGACAAAGTGTAGTTTGAGAGAACAAGACTGGCGTCAAGATTATGAACACATGCAGGTAATATGGCTCCATCTCTTGTTGTGGAAACATTCAATTTGCACTTTGTAAGACGATCAGGATAGTTCTGAAAATCAGGCTCTGTGCCAGGAATAGTGTTGGGACCTGTGGTATTAGTACATGGTTGATCTTTAAATTCATTTGCCATTTCCTCAGCAAGGCATTTTGCTGTCTCACTCTCAGTTAGGTGCGTCAAGTTTAGCGTTGCCCTGTAACTGTTAATCCCTTGAAAAAGGTTTTTTTCCTCATCATCTGTGTGATTTAAAGAAGAAACAACACCAAACTTATTATTGTATATGTAGTATTTGAATTTCATTACCTGTACATTCACTCTTTACTCGCTCCAGTTAGTTTTTCCAATAAATAAGGGTAAAGTTCTAGGAGAAGCGAAGATTATCAGAAAAACTGGAAAAGAATAGAAGGGGACTGATGAAAAGGTAGGAGTATTTTGAGAAGAAGTCACATGCAGTCAAATTTAAGAATTTTATTCATGCTTTCGTCTTGTTTTGTCAGTTTCTTATTTTCTTTTTATTTCTACTTGTTTTTTTCCCTTTTTTCTTCTTTTTGTCTTAATTTCATCATCAGTATATTTCTTTCATTTTCCGCATAGTCATATTTTTTTAAGAAAGTCCACCCATTAATTCAATGAACTAGAGGGTAAACTCTTTCTGATAAAAAATGAAATATGAAGAGAAAATTCAGGGAAAAGTAAGAAAGTAAAATTGAGAAAATAGAATTAATTGAATAGTACGGAGTAATACATAAAAGGGAAACAGAGTAAAAACAGGGAGTAAGAAGAATGGAAAAAAACCATTGAGCAAAATCCTACAAAAAAGATTTTCCCGATAGGACAGAGAGGAAACATGAGAAAACATAAAAAACAACTAGAGCATGAAAAAAAGGGAAAAAGTGCCGAGAAGATAAAAAAACAAAAGGATAAAACTTCTAGAGAGAAAAAGGGAAAATGATATACAAGATTGTTTTGAAAACATCAGTGAAATGTGGAATTATTTATTCAATGTTTAGAAGGAAAAACAAAAACCTGGAAATAATAAGTCATCAACGGGTACAAAAGGATGAGGTGATAAGGTGAGATTTTTCTGAGATTATATTTAGGTGAAATTATTATGAGAAGACCCGTGAAAAAAAGAGATTATTATTATCAATTTTCCAATAGGCAAAATCTAGTGTAAAAAGATCCACTGGTCCCTAATGCGTGAAAGGTGGGACAAATGGGATAGTAAAACATGTTATTTTGAGTCCAAACCTAATTTATTTTCGTGTAACTTGACATCACAAGAGCTCTGAGAAGATTGAACAACATTTACTAAGAGATGTCACTATTAGGCATCATTTGGGAATGCATACAATGAATTCCGGAAGATATTTTTCCAGAAATTTAAGTGTTTCATACACATGGAAAATGATATCAATGGAGAATGAATATGACTTTTAGATGTTACCCACCACCACCCACCCCACCATCTCCATCACCACCTCTACCCCAAGACAGCTTCCACCGGCCCACCACACTCCATTTGTTATTCTGGTGAATTCAAATTAAAGATTGAAAACAAGTTTTTAGCAGATCAAGCCCAGTCAGAAATTGGCAATGCAAATACAGATGGTTACTTACAGGCAATCACTTATTTGGGAATTGGGGTGCTTATCACAGAATATCACCTATTCAGATGCATCTAGATCTCCGAACCCCAATACAGATTTGTCAAGTACCAAACAGCCCTAACTTAAATTTAAACCCCCAACGCTTCAAACATAAAGTTTACTTCAAACGAGCTCACTAGAGCAGCTTGGAATAACAACATTTTTGTTAAGCACAATGAACGAGAAAGAAAGCAGGAGAAAGAAGAAAAAATCACAAACCATCGCTTCTGACTTTGATGAAGATGATGGGTTGGAGTAGAAGACAGATGAAAAGGACTTGACGAAGAGACGTCGCCATTGCTGCTATCCTTGATGGTTGAAAGCTGATGGAGAACAGAGAAGAGATGGGGGTCCTAAACAAGTCCAGTGATCTTAGCTTTCAATCCAAGTCTTCCTCCCACTCCTTAAAAGAGACGATTGGAACTCACTCTAATAAATGGTAGGCAAGGGGAATTCTCAATTTATGTCTAGGTCCTTCAAATATTTTACAACTATTACCAAAGTACATTTGCCTTTTACCGCGAAAATATTTCACAACGGTTAGTCGGTAGGTAAATGAAACTTCAGTCATATTTCCTTGGGAAAACTGTCAAATAGGTCCTCGAACTTTCATAAAAAGGTCAATTAAGTCCTTCTATAGGAGGTTTTGTCCGGCCGTCGCGATTTGGGGCAGTTCCCGGTGGAATTTTTTGATGAAATTTTTTGAGCATCTTATTCACCAAGTCTAGTTTACTCATACCAAATTTCAGCTAAAAATTCAATCGGGAACACATTCAAATTAATTCTTGAAGATAACTGCTCATTTTTGCGTTCTCGAATTAATTTGAATGCGCTCTCAATTAAATTTTTAGCTAAAATTTGGTATGAGTAAACTAGACTTGATGAATAAGATGCTCAAAAAATTTCATCAAAAAATTGTACCGGGAACCGCCCCAAATCGCGACGACCGGACAGAGTCTCCTATAGAAGGACTTAATTGACTTTTTTATGAAAGTTCGAGGACCTATTTGACAGTTTTCCCTATTTCCTTCCTCACATAACAAAAGATTATTTCATTTCTGTTTTCAAAAGTTTGGGGTTTGTTTACTAACAGAAATATTTTCCATACTTTTAGAAAACTAGAAAACCGGAAAAATGAAAACACAAAACTTGTTTACCAAAGAAAATTACTGAAAAACTGGAGAAAGGAAAACAAAAAACTGTGTTTACCAAATCTTTTTCCAAAACAAAAATAATGAGGCATGTCTCTCTTTTCCTTAATAAATTAGAGAAGTGACTTTTATTAGTTTTCCAAATTTGGAAAACGTGGATGCTGCAGTGTCGCTACAATGAATTGCATACTTAACGTCTAGTAGTGCATCCGATCAATGACCCGACATTAAGGTTCGGTCATTGACCCGGCGGTCCCTGTCCGGTCTGGTCGACGGTCGAGCAATCCCGGTCTGGTCCGGTCGACGACCCGGCAATCTCTGTCCGATCCTCTCCACAACTAGGCAATCCGGTCCATGACCCGATTGTCCGGTCGGTTGACGAACCGACGGCCCCTGTCTGATCCGATCCACGACCAAGCGGTACCTGTTCAGTTTGTCAACGGGAGGACAGTCCCGGTCTGATCTAGTATGGTCAATGACTCGGCGGTCTCTGCCTGGTTCGGTCACGTACCCGACGGCCTGATCCGGTCATTGACCCGACAGTCCATGTCATGTTCAGTCGACAGTCATGCAATCCCGATCTGGTCCGGTCGGCGGTCCCGGTCCGGTTTGGTCGACGACCTGAAGGTCCCTGTCCGATCCATGGTCTGACGGTCCCCCATCCAGTCTGGTCCACGACCTCGCAACCCCCTGTCTGGTCCGGTCCATGACCCGACGATCCCTATCATGTCCGATCGATGATCCTGCGGTCACTGTCATGTCCGATCGATGACCCGGCGGTCCCTGTCCGGTTCGATCCACGATAAAGAATACATGTTCGGCCCGTCCGACGACCACGCAATCCCGATCCGATCCAGTCTGGTCAACGACTCGACAGTCCCCGTACACTCCGATCAACGAATTGGTGGTCCCCATCCTCTCCATCCAACCACCCGACGATCCCCGCCCTATCCTATCAACGACCAGGCGGCCCCCATCCTGTCCCTCCAATGACCCAACGGTCTGTGTTCGGTCCGATCGACAACCGGGCGATCCCTGGCCAGTCTCATCAACGACCCGGCGGTTCAGTATTGGTGTTTTGAAATCATTTTTTAAAGTGAAGAGTTTTAAAAGAGCTGTTTAGTTGTCAATTAATAGGGAAATGGGAAAAGAATTCGCCAAACTAACCATTGAGATCGACCCGCACCGGCCGGCTTCAAGCCTAACTTTCCTATACATGGGGCCTGATACTCTACTTGGATTGTACTAGGTTTGATTTCGGGATGGGACCACACTTTCAATCTTCTAGTAGATCACATAACCGGGCGAAAAAATTTGATGAACATGTTTTCGGATTTGAAAATGGAAAACTAAAAAATGAAAACACAAAATTGGAGATAGAAAAATTGGAAAATTAAAAACAAAAAATTGGAGAACGGAAAATAGAAACGGAAAACAGGAAAATATCTATGTGAGTAAACAGACCCTTGTTGTTTACATTTATGTAATGATGTTTCAAAATTTGTTTTACATTTATTTACATTTTTCTTATTCAATTAAAAATTTAAAATCATACATTTTCACTTTATTCTCACTTTTAAACTCTCATTCCAAGTCTAACTGGAAAGAATTTTATGGGACGAAAGAAGTAACAATTTTTATATTTTCAAAATAGAATTAATTCTTCTCATTCCACCTTGTAATATATTTTTTTTATCATCAAACGGGCCTCTATTCATATCAAAAGATTCAGTATCATTACATCAGGCAAAAGGAAAATAAAACTGACATCAACTGAAACTTCAACAACTACGACTGTAACCCTATGGTGAGACTTTGAGACGATCACCCCTGAGAGAGCAACACGAATCGCTAACCATGTAGTGGGCTTGACACAGCCAAACATATTCCCATAGATCCAACCATACCCAATGACATTGATGGAGTATATGGACCGGGAACCCCCGGCCCATAGACTCCTACTTCTGCTACACATACCCGATAAGCCCAGAGGACAACTCAGGCCCAAAAGCAACGGCCCAGGCCCCAAAATAGCCCGGAATACATACCGGGGTGCCTTCGGCCTCCCTGGCCGAAGGCTCCAGAAACTCACGAAGTAGCCCTCTCTGACATACGAAGCTACTGGGAGAAAACGGCGAAAAACATGAGCCTTCGGCATTACCAAGCCCTCGGCATTTGGGGAGCCTTCGGTGAACGTAGCCCTCTGCCACTCGGGGCCTTCGAGTACACGGGGGTCCTTGGTTACACGGAGCCCTCGGCTACGCAAGAAGCCTTCGGCCAAGCATGCTCAATCATCGAAGATTCCTTTTGGGGACAGCCAACCACCGCATTTAATGCCACATCACATCCGCCAACCGCATTCAATGCGGTAAACGTACCACTGCCGGTGCCACCAGGCTGATGTGACCCTTCGGCCGTTGGATTACTGACACGTGTCCCCTCATCGCATTTATTGCTGCTATAAATAGCAGCCCATATCTCCTTGTAAAACACAATCTACATCTCAACTCCACATCTCGAGTTCATTTAATAAAATCGACTCTCTCTCCTCCTATTTCGCTCTGACTTCTCTCTAGTTATTTCCGCAATAACCCTTCGGATAAGATACCCCCCGGGTAGCCAATCCATCAGACATAAAGAGAGGCAAAAACTCAAACAAACTGTCAAAACCAACAACAAAAGTGGACACAAGAAAACAAATAACAAACAGATAAAAACTACAAGAAAAGCGTTCACGAACTCTAGCACCTCGTGCATCCCATGGTGGTGGTTCAGGAGGTCTTACCACCGGTACCATGCTAATTGATACTCCGTGACCTTTGTCTGCCAAAGGCCATGCATCAATCCTCCGTCCCTGCATAACCAAACTCATCCCTGCTTCATGCAACCAGAGTAAACGGATAGGCGGCGCCGATCTTCTCCAACGACGACAGCAATACATCATCCTCGAACCTTGACCACAACGCCGATCTCCTCGAGCCATGACAGCAAATCCGCCCTTCGAGTGTGAAGCACAAACAACAGCAGCCGTCCTTCGATTAAAATCGAAGACGGAAATAGCGGTCGTCCTTCGATTAAAATTGAAGACGGAAAAAGCGGCCGTCCTTCGATTAAAATCGAAGACGGAAAAAAACTCCAAGCGGCCGAAGCCCTAGAGAGAAGCGAGAGACCATAACATCAATTCCCTCGACGAAGACAGATGAAAATTACCCAACGCAGTTCAATTCGGCCGCACTTCAATTTCTCCTTTTCTTCTTGTCGAACCTCACAGCCGTCAAAATTATCCGGCGGACCACCCTTTGGCAGAAATAGATTTAGGCTGTCGAAGTTTCTTCCACCTTGTCATATTTTAATAAAAACAGTCCGTACCTTTTATTTATAATAAATACATAAAAACGTTAAAAAAACACTTTGTACTACATAGGTAAGTCTATGCAGCCGCCTCAGTCACCTACTGGCAATGCGATCTTGCATCAATGTTGTCATCTTAAAGACATTTTCATAGCAAAATTTAACATTTTTAAAAAATAATAATGTCACCTTCATAACATTTTCAGATAAAAAGTACTCCTTATCCGAATTATCTTCTAAAGTGAGTTTTATACAGGGACTAAAAAAGTGAGATTTGTGTGCTGAAGAGTTGTGTTGATGAGAGAGAAATGTGTAAAAAAATATTGTGTACCATAACTTCTTTGCCAAATATGGAAAAAGAAGATATTTTGAGATAGACGGAAAATGAAATTTGGAAGATAATTCCGGGACGGGGGAGTTGTATTTTTTTTATACAAGTCGACATTTTCCCCGCCAAACGTAGGCGGCATTGCGTGGAGGCAGTGCAGGAAGGATCTGTGGCATGCTTTTGTAATGCATTTTTTTTTATAACTTTTAGTTTTTTTTTTAAATTTTTGATGTTTTTATTTTGTATGTTCTTATTCAAAATAAAGGCATTTTTAATTTTTTTTTAAATTTTTATAATAAACAAAAATCAAATTTCTTATAAAATATGATAAGGATATAATAGGAGTACTTATATTATTGGTCCTCAAACTATATGGTACAATCACTTGTACCTTGAGTATGATACATTCGGGTATTCTCTGACCCGTCATGTTTAGTAGCCTAATATGATGTAGCCCAACCCTAATTCTATTCAGCCGCACCATTGGATCCGATAGCTCATTGTCACCCAGTCAATGTCTCCATGTTCATTGTTGGACTCAATGTTCATCGCCGTAGTTCTGGCTGCAGGCGCAGATGACAATCACGAATCCAACCTCGCCCCCAATCGCGGTGTGCTTACCAAAGCG